CTAACAACCGCAATGCAGGACCCGGCGGCCCGCTTTCCGACCTCATGAGCGACGCCATGCGGGATACCGTTACTGTTGACGCCTTTGGCCTGACCTCGGCTCCAGACGCTACCATCCGCGCGAGTAGCATTTCCGTCAATAGCCAGGATGCGACCAGGACCGTGACGAAGGGATGGCGAGATTTTTTCTGGGGTGCATCTACGAACAAGCGCCCGAGTCGTGCTAGTAGCACCGCAGGCGAAGGTGATCCCGCAGCGCCCGCAACTGCCAGAATTTCAAGGGCTCCGACTGGCCTAGATCGGAGGCCACCACTTCCGGACGACCTGTTCTGTCCTCCAGGTCCAGACTCTGCATCCATCCCCAGCTCGAGTAGAGCTTCGAGCATTGCTCCTTCCATTGATAGAAAAAGCTCGACGTCTATTGCGAGTTTGGCTCTGCGGTTAGTCGCCGGCGGCGCTGTTGCTGCGCGTGAGGGAAGCACTGGCCCTGTGGATCGAAGCAGATCGGCAAGCGATGGCAACCGGGAGCGGCCCCCTGCTGGTGGGTCTGTTAGGACACCCTCGGTTGCGAGTGTCAAAACCACCCAGTCTGCAAGAACCGCTTCGGCGCAGGCGGGCCCGAGAGCCCTGATGGCTATGCGCCGGACTGCCAACGTTGGGGCAGCGTCCGCCGCGACGAGGGCACAACAGCAACATGATAGGCGCGACGGCAACTTCGGGAGTCCTCCAGGTAGCGCTCGGTTGCCGCAGCAAGAAAGCTACGGCCCAGTCGAGATGGATACTATCCTGCCTCCCGAGACCCAACCGCCGACTTTGACGCAGCATACTTATAATAACTATGGCACATCTGGCTACTTAACTGACCGCTTCGGCTTCATCTATGACCAGAGACGAAAGAAGCGACAGAGGGACGCCGCTCGAATGAGCCGCTACATGAAGAGCAGTCGTGCTGAGATGCTCAATGGCAGACCAACTCATGTAGCTCCCACCGTCGCGATTACCACCACCACTACTACTGGCGAACAGCCGACGAGCCCCAAGTCCGACACTCCTGCCAGCGATGGTGGTGACCGTCCGAGCTCACCAACCTCACTGGAAGACGATAGCAAGCAACCAAAACGGTGGCAGGATTATCTAAACATTGCGACCTTCCCGACGGAGCTATTGGCGCATATGCCCACAATCAGTGCCCCTTCCCTCGAGGTTCTGGAAGCCGCTGAGACGGCGGTAGCGTCAAAGCCTCCGGGCCTGCTCACCTCGGACGATCGCGGCTTTGTGCCCACCACCAAATCGACGTCTGCCGTAGACAGCGGAGACACTGTTCCTGTCCCTGTCCCTGCTACCGCAGCAGCAGCGACCCTCGAGCCCTCGTCCTCTTCCTCCCCCGAAGCGGCAACACTTGTCAAGGAGGATACCGAGCCCGTGAAGCTTCTCCTGCAACAACTTAACGATGTTCACGATTCTCTGCAGAGAGAGAAGACGGTGCGCTGGAACGACTTCCTCCGGAAAGTGCGCGCAGAAAGACGACGGGAGGGTGAAGCCGCTGCCGCCGCTGCAGTTGCCGCCGCCGAGGCGCGATTCGAGACGCCCGCCGTCATTCTACCCGAGACTAAACTTACTGGTGGGGAGATGATTGGCATATCCGGACTGGGGAACAAGGGCAAGGTTGGCCGCGCCAAATGGAACGAGTTTAAGTCGCTGGTGCTAGGAGGAATCCCCGTCGCGTACAGAAGCAAGGTGTGGTCCGAATGCTCGGGCGCATCGACGATGACAATTCCAGGGTACTACGGCGACCTCATCTCGAAGCCTGGGACCGAAGATGACGGCGCCGTCGTCGCGCAGATCGAGATGGATATCCGCCGAACTCTCACGGACAACATATTCTTCCGCAAGGGTCCGGGAGTGGCAAGGCTTAACGAGGTGCTCCTCGCCTACGCTCGACGGAATCCTGAGGTGGGCTATTGTCAGGGGATGAACCTTATCACGGCCAATCTCCTCCTCATTATGCCTTCTGCCGAGGATGCATTCTGGATCCTCGCATCTATCGTCGAAAACATTCTGCCGCAAGGCTACTACGACCACAGCCTTTTGACTTCGCGCGCTGACCAGCAAGTGCTGCGGCAGTACGTGCGCGAAGTTCTTCCACGGCTCTCGCAGCACCTCGACGACCTCGGAATCGAGCTCGAGGCCCTCACGTTCCAGTGGTTCCTCAGCGTGTTCACCGATTGCCTCTCTGCCGAGGCGCTCTTCCGCGTTTGGGACGTGGTTCTCTGCACCAACGACGGCAGCACGTTCCTGTTCCAAGTCGCCCTCGCGCTGCTGAAACTTAACGAGTCGCAGCTCCTGCAATGCGAGGCTCCGGCGGCCGTCTACACGTACATCAACCACCAGATGACGAACCATGCCATCAGCATCGACGGGTTGATCCACGCGAGCGAGGGCTTGAGGAGGGTCGTCAAGCGGGAGGAGGTCGAGGCGAGGAGGGCCGAGGCGGTGAGGATCGAGAAGCAGATTATGAAGGAGCGCGAGGAGATGAGGAGTGGGAGGGCGAAGAAGAAAGGGGATGGAGCTTCTGTTGGTGCCGCCACTACTGGGACCTCGGGAGCATCATCGCAGAACAGTTAGGCGTATAGGAGGATGGTTATCTTTTGGATTGGCTGCATTGGGAGGTTTTTGGGTGTTTTTCTTTTCTTGATCTCGTTTGGTCATTGGTACTAGGAGAGAGGCGGCTTCAACACTTGCGCGTTTTTTTTTTTCTTTCACATTATTCGAGTCGGGTCATTTTGATTTTGTTTGGTCCTTTCCTTTTGGTCCTTGTCACTCATGATACCCTATTTTCAAGAACAAGAACACAGAACAGCAGAGCAAAGCAAAGCAAAGCAAAGCACCAGGCGGGTACACAGTCACCATTGTTCATAGTGGTCGTTTAGGTCATTCCCTAGATTTCTTTTCTCCTTTTTCGCTGGCGGAGTGGTGATGGGTTTCGAATCGCTCCTTTCTTTGGCGTTTTATACTAGAGGTTGTCCATTTGACAGACATGTCCCTTTTCAACGAGGGTCTATGATAGGGGTCGAGGTAGATGGCCCAGCCGAGGGGGCTAGTACAAGATGATTGTGTAAAGTGGGGGGTGAAGAAATACTATCCGTACACAATGGAAAAGAAGTTCACCATCGACGAAGAGCGTCCTCATTTTCGCCGGTTTGCGGCCTCTCTAATATCTCGAGGCTCGATCAGATCTGGCCTGGGCAGCGCCATGTAGATGCTATATAGAAGTTGGTCGTAATTGCACTCGGTCACTCTTGGGCTTCTTCTAACTTGGACTTCCCAGATGGCGAGGAAAGTTATAAGTACATGCAAGACTGCCCCCAAGTTGCCATGAAAACCGTAATAAAAGGATAATTCTACACAATCTCACAACTTGGCCTTGGCCTTCTCAAGCCTCTCCTTCTCCTCCGCATCCCACTTCAACAACGCCTTCTCCCTCTTATCCTCCACAGCAAACCCCTCATCACTCAAATATCCCCACGTCTCCCTGTACATCTCCACCTTTAGCAGTCCCCAAACGCCCGACCGTCCCTTTTCCAAAATGTTCCTCTTCCTCACCAACTCCAACGCCTCCTCCACACCGCCCAGCCCATCGACAATCCCCGCTTCAAGTGCCTCGGGGCCCGTGAACCTCTTCCCCTCGAGTACGAGGCTCCTATACGTCGACGCGGGGACTTTGGCCCTAAAGATGGAACTCATGGGGGCCTTGAGCAAAGCGCCGAAATCGACCTCGTTCAGACACGCGAAGCCCCTCGAGGGATTCATGATCCGGTAATCGTGAAACATGGCGAGCATCAGCCCCGCCGCGAAAGCATGCCCGTTGAGAACCGCGACGGTGGGCATGGGGAAAGCCAGGAGTTTGCGGAAGAGCGGGTACAGCGCTTCGGTCCAGAAGGATGGAGTCGAGGAGGCGTGGGCGAGGTCGAGGCCGTTGGAGAAGAATTTGGGAAGGGAGGAGGTGGTGATGAGGATTCCCGGTGGTTGGGTGGCTTGAAGGGTGTCGAGGGCGGTGATGAGGGCGGTGCAAGAGGTTGTGGTTAGGCGGTTGTCTGGCGGGGCGGAGATTGTTAGGAGGTAGATTTGGGGCGATGGTGACGTTACGGTTATAGTGCCGCTTCCTTGGGTTTCGGAGGGGGGGATGGGGATGGTGAAGAGTTCCGTGGGCGCCATCATGGTGGTGGTGGTGGTGATGATGTCCGGATGTATGGTATAAGCTGTGAGGATGATTTAGTTGCAGGGCAATCGATTTGCAATGTGGAGGGTGGCCGGTTCGAAAGATCTTGGAGAGTCGAGAACGGGGAAAAGACGTTCGATAGCCAGAGGCAGATGTTTATACGAAGTTTTGGAGAGGCTATGGCCACAAGGATGGCCGGACTTGTGGATATGTTCCAGCTGGGGCTGAGCCGAGGGATGTCGATGTCGATGAGATTCCGACCGACGTCACGAAGTTGACAGGTCCGAGAACAGCAATTCTCAAATACTTCGTAGACTGGTCACTGTAGACTTGACAGACAAATTTCCAAATGTCCACATACGCTCATCTCGGCATCAAAGCAATACATTCCATCCACGGAGTTGTTCACTAATCATCTAAATCCGAATATCATCTCGATCTCGGCTTCTTGAAGCTGGCGATTTTCACATGCTTGTAAACGGGGAAGGCGCAACCTTAAATCCACGGACTTTGCTTCTTTCCGTTTTGAAAGCAAGACCCCAATTTTCTTAGGTAATCCGCACCCTCTGGTGTCTCAGGATTTCAGCCAATCAGAGAGCTTCCTGCCATGTGGACATCCCACGTCTCGCAATGCAGCAGTCGTCACTTGCTGTATCTGAGCTGTCTCAAGTTGTGCTTGAGCTTCAAAGCTTGTCTTTCTCTCCATCTGCGTAACGCCGTCCGTGTCTACACCCGATTCACCGAGAACAGTCGAAGCTTCCGAAACCTCGCTGCGCATCACCATGGCGGACCAGGACGAAGACCAGCGAACCGTGGTGTTTTTCCACCCCGACCTAGGCATTGGCGGCGCCGAGAGACTCATCATCGACGCGGCTGTCGGCCTGCAGCAGCGCGGTCACAAGGTGGTCATCTTTACGAGCCACTGCGATCCGAAGCATTGTTTCGAGGAGGCCCGCGATGGTTAGTTCATATCTGCTTATAGCGCCTAGAGATCAAATAGAAAAAAGAAAGATGAGGCTAACAGAAGCTCTCTCACTCCAGGAACCCTCGACGTCCGCGTAAGAGGCAACTACCTCTTCCCCCCCTCGGTCTTCTCCCGCCTCACCATCATCTGCGCCATCCTCCGCCAACTCCACCTTCTAGTCCACATCTACCTCACCTCCGAGCTCCAATCCCTCAAGCCCTCCTCCTTCATCGTCGACCAACTCAGCGCCGGCCTCCCCCTCCTCCAATACCTCTACCCCTCGGCCCCGATCCTCTTCTACTGCCACTACCCGGACCTGCTCCTCGCGCGCGGCCGCGACCGCTGGTGGAAGAGGCTTTACCGCGCGCCCTTTGACGTTCTTGAGGAGTGGAGCATGTCGTTCGCTACGGCTGTTGCTGTTAATTCGGAGTTTACGAAGGGGGTTGTTAGGAGGACTTGGCCGAAGTTGGAGAGGACGACGGAGTTGAGGGTTGTGCACCCTTGTGTTGCTGTTGAGGAGTTGGAGGAGGATGAAAAGAGGAGCAAGAAGAAGGCCAAGGGGAAGAAGGCTGGTAAGGGGAAGACGATTGCGGAAAAGGAGGCCGATAAGGATACTTCTGTGGTAGAGGAGATTGTGGAGTGGAAGGATGAAAAAGTCATTCTTAGCATCAACCGCTTTGAGCGCAAAAAGGACGTTGGACTCGCCATTAAAGCCTTCGCTGCCATCCCAGAGGACAGGCGTGAAGGCGTACGTCTCATCATCGCTGGTAAGTCTCAGTGAAGCCCCATCTAATACGGTCACATTCTCGTCCCCCAATTAACTAACCCTCTTTCCAGGTGGCTACGACTCCCGCATCGCCGAAAACGTCGAATACCACAACGAACTCGTCCAGCTCGCAACCTCCCTCTCCCTCCAATCCCTAACCGCCAAAACCCTCATCTCCGCTCTCGCCGCGCCCCTCACCACCCCCGTCCTCTTCCTCCTCTCCGTCCCCTCGACCCTCAAAGACGCCCTCCTCCGCTCCGCCCGCCTCCTCGTCTACACGCCCTCCAACGAACACTTCGGCATCGTGCCCCTCGAAGCCATGCTTGCTGGCGTTCCCGTCCTGGCCGCCAACAACGGCGGGCCGAAAGAAACAGTCCTCGATGAAGGGACGGGTTGGCTCCGTGACCCGGAGGACGTGTCCGCTTGGACGGCCGTCATGGATCGCGTGCTCAACGACGTTACTCCCACGCAGAGGGAGAGGATGCGCAGGGCCGGGATTGCGAGGGTGCATAGTTCTTTCGCGAGGTCGACTATGAGCCAGAGGATCGAGCAGATTTTGGATGATATGGATAGGAACGGGCCGAGGAGACCGCCGGTTTTTAATGCGGTTATGAATTTTATGGGGATTGCGGCGGCTTTTTGGTTTGGGTTGATCGTTGCCAAGATCTTTACGCCTGGTCCTCAGGCGAAGGCCTAGAGAACCTGGGGTTTGAAGTCTTCGTCCTCTGCTTTTCGAGGTTTCCCGTTTATATTTATTTTCTTCGAAGGGGAGGCGGCATGGTGATATTTCAAGCAAGGTGTTGGAGGGTAATTTCTCTGTACTTTTATGGTTTTATGGTCGAATTGTACCTTTGTAATTCTACATTCACAACACAAGCACGTTAACAGCAAAGCATTTCAAACCGCATCTTCGTCACAAGAGCCTCCCATTGAATTTGAAGAACCCAACTCCAGTCATGCTAAGAAAAGAAAACTTGAGCTCTGGGGAAAACAAGTCCCCAACTAAAGGCAAGGAACAAGTTAGGGAGGAAAGGGGTAGTTAAAAAAGAAGATACGAAAGAAGTTCAAAAAGATCCATCGAAACCGAATAACCCCAAAAGCTCCTATTTTCTCCAAGTCCAAAAGTGCAAACCCAGTCTGTGCCCAATGTCACCATTGCTGGTGATGATCAAATCTCTACTCTTCTTCGTCTTCGTTATGCCTGTGCCATCAAGTTTCATTCTGCTCCCTTCCTACCCGCCCCCTCTCATCTTATCTTCCAGGGAAGGGGATCCATCAAGTCCGGGGATAGAGGAGAAAACCACATCATGCTAGAGGAAGAAAAAGATATCGCGGTTTGGTGTTGGTGGGGACTGTATAGGAAAGATACGCCCAAGACTAACCCCCACAACAGAATGGAAGGTGAAACGGAAATCAAAAACATCGAGATGAAATAGAACAAGATGCAAGAGAACGCCAGGGAACCCAAGAAAATGCTGGACAAGTAAGTGAGCGGGGAATCAAAACCATGAAAAGCAGTTAGGAAAACAGGGAGAAGAAGCGAGGAAAAACAACCACGACCCCCAAATTATTGCATCATGGAGAATGATATCTCTTGTTCATCAAAAATCTCGGTTCCTTCTCTTCTGCACGAGAAGCAGAGAAAAACAAAGTCCTACATGCTGCAGCAATCTCATCAGGGAGCGTTGTTTCCCATGCCTTCGTTCCAACCATGCAAGCCACACAAATATATATATATATACATGCATACAATCTTTACCACCTTGTCTCATCATCCCCAAATATGCCATGCGAAACAAAAGCCTAAAAAATCAAGCCCACCCCCTTTCATAAGGCACCGTCGGATCCTGATAATGCAAACCGTTCCCGCCATGAAACAAAAGAAAAACAAGAAAAATCATCTCCCCTGATGCGCCCTTCCAAATCTCGTCCTCCATTCCGATATGCTTCTGAGCTCCCTCGAGGTCAGGGAGATCGTGTCATTAAACATATTCCGCCCAGCCATTCCATCGTCCTGTCGAGTATCCGAACACGCGGATCAAGTGCGGTGCAACAACCGAAAAAATGAGATGATGAAATTGTGAAAGACATAGGTCATTAGAATGCCCCAAGAGAAGGGGGAAAAAACAGTAGATAACAGAGAGAAGCAGGTGTGAAGCGCAGTCTGAGTTGGGGGTATTTGCGCTAGGACTTCAGTCCTTTGGCATTTCTGTACTGCACTCGTCCGGGACAAGTCGCCAAGTCTATCGTCTATGACCATGCAATGTTTCATAGGTAGCTCGGTTTCTTCGTATATGTGCGTAGATAGAGAGAGAATATGTGTGCGTGTATGAAGCTAGTCGTGTAAAGTAGTATTCGCATCTCGCAACGAGGTGAAGTAGTGGAGATATGTGAAAGGCAATCTGTGTACGACTGATGCCAGAGTGATGTGGGGGGGAGGGGGGGTACATGCGACAGCGTGACCTCGTGGATGTATTTATTCGCCCGCGCAAGCTCAGACTTTAGTTGGTATCAATGAATGTCGGATGCATGGGCGCTGGCAGAGCTGGCATTCGTGCCACGCCGCTTTGAGACGGAAGTGTGTCGGCTCCTAGCCGCCTCCCGCATGCTCGACTTTCGTCGATTGCTCATCATCGTCAAACCTTCATCGCTGTCGCTGTCGCCATCGTCGTCGTCCTCCCTCTCGCTTTGTTGGCGGCTTGGCGTGCGAGGCGTGCTGCCGCGAGCCGGACTGTTCGCTATGGCGGGGACGGAGATGATTCCACTGTCGACGGCTTGGGTCGCCTCGAGAGCCAACGTATCTAGTGGGAATCCCGCAATCGGTTCCTTACCAATAGCCGGAGGAGTGAGCGAGTCGGTTGTCTCCAAGAGGTTAGGGTTCGCGCTCACAATGCCGGGTCGACCAAGAAGTTCAGCTTCCATATCTGCCGAGACCGAGCTGGCTCCGCTAAGGAGTGCCGGCAGCGAAGGGTCTGACTGGAAGGCAAGGATATGATCCGAAGATACCTTGGTAGAGCTAGTCTTGGAGGAAGGGATAGTGCTTGTTTGTTCGTCAGCACCAGAGACGGAAGATGCCGAGACATCCATCGACGCAGATCTAGACGAGGCACCCGATACATCGGCAAGATCCCTTTCTGCCGTCATGGGTGGTGAGGTTTGCTGGCGCGGCGCAGTCTCTGGGAACTGCTCAGCCCGCTCTTGCTTAGTGCTTTCTGCCAAACCCTTGGGGGCGGTGTCGTGGTGGTTGGATATCGCTTCCGCGGTTTCCACTTGATACAACGCCGACGGCGTTTGCGCGCCAGCATCATGGAAATCCGATGATCTCCTGTGGATTGCGGTGAGCAGGCGACGTGCAGTCTGTGGCCGTTCATGGGACTCCATCGAGCGACGCTTCTTCTCAGGGAAGTTCGGGTCAGAGCTCGAGTGGTGGTGATGCTGGTGATGATGTTGATGGTAACCGTGGATGGCGGTGGGCGAGAACAGCAGAGGCGACGGAAGTGGGGATGCGATGTCTGTCGGGGCACTCCTATGACCCAGAGGACGCAGCTGTTGAGTCAGGAGGGACTCATTGTCCCGTCGTCTAACTGGCGTGCTCGTCTCAAACCCATCAACCGAACGCGCCCGCGGGGAGCCGGCAACGGATGACGGATCTGCAGCTCTGGCCGTGCGATTATCATCCTGAGTCTCAACTTCTGAGCATGTCGCATTGTCCGGGATCGTGGAAAGGTAAGATGGGTCTATGGACATTGACTTGGCATGAGCGTGTCTGTACGACTTGTAGGTGGGCGGGGGTGTCGCAGAATATCGAAAACGAGCAAAACTGGGAGGGTCGAAATGTCGCGCCTCAAGGCCGTGGGCTGTGTACTTACCAGGCCCTAGTACCGTGGCCATGGGGTCATAATTATGAACAGTAGTATCCTGAGGCGCGGCTGCCGGATTACTCATCGCAGGAGAGCCTACCCGCGGCAAGCCCGAGACTAGTTGCTCCTCATTCACGGGCGTACCATGACGTCGACTGCCCCCAGCGTACGGTGTGGAGGACGCAGTAGCCAAGGCGTCACCCGAGGAGCTAGCAACGCTGCTGGTGGCCCGGCGTCGCACCCGGCCATCGCTACGATCCACCAATGGGTGCATGACTTTGCCGACGGCCTTACGCACAACAGACCTCGCTTTTTGAAGAAAGTTGAGAGGCACGACGGCATGAGACATGTCCCTCTCATCCACTTGAATCCTCCGGCCTAGAGATGGTCTCGCGGGGTCCGTCTCGTCAAGCCACTTCAACAAGTCAGGAATTCCCTGGACCACCCACGGGTGGCGCTTGATCTCGCGGAGTCGAATGCGCTTCTCGGGATCCTTGGTAAGCATGCGGCGAAGAAGATCCTCTAATAGATCGTCGATCTCTTCGTAAAGGAGCTCGTTGTCGTCCCTGTATGGATCGCTATTCTGTCTCTTGTAGAGGGAAGTTGCGTTTGGCGAGGTGGAAGGGTCAACGGGTCGAAGTCGGCGGTGAGGGATGTAGACGTCGTCGTTGGCAATCTTCCTGAACATTTGGAACTCGTCCTCGGCCAAAAACGGGATGCGGGCATAGATCAGACAGTAGAGAGTAACACCTAGAGACCAAACGTCAATCTGTTCGGACACCTTGGGTTGCACCTTGTCCGGGTCCGTATAGCAAAGCTCGGGAGCGAAGAAGGCTGGGGTACCAACGGTCTTGGCGAGCTCGAGATCGTCATCGAAGTCTCTCGCTTCCGACTCTGACACGGTATCATCGGGCTCGCCATCTCTAATGGGACGACCAAAGTACGAAACGCCAAAATCGGAAATCTTCACGCGATGATCCTTAGTCCAGAGAAGGTTGGCCGGCTTGATATCGCGATGGACGACGCCTTGATAATGCAAGTACTCGAGTCCTAAAACTGTGTCCCGGAATGTCTGCCTGGCTTGATCTAGCGTAAAACATGGAACGTAGGAATAGTCGTCGACAAAGGGGTCGTGAGGCTGAGGGTTAAAATCGAGAGAGGACATGTGTGAAATGATTGAATCAGCCATACTTGGCGACCTCGCCCGAAGGTCAATGGCCTCGACTCCATACATGACGCCATCGAGTATGACGGAGGAATTGGTTTTGGTAAGGGAGAGGTAGGTATCGGTGTCGTCATGGTCGTTGTCGTCGTGGATAGCACTATCGTTGATCAAATTCGAGGAGTTATGCGGTCCAAGGGACTTGACGGAATGGGATCGCGAGGGAGCCCTTGAGCTGTCCCGAGACGGCTGAAGCGAATTAGGCATCGAGGATCCGGTTCGGTCTCCAAAGGCGAGGTCACGGTGGGAAGAAATGCGTGAGCTGGGACCGGAAATACACTCGTCACCGAGTCCATGTTCGATACTCCAATAGTCGTGGGGGCCCTCAAATGCCTGGGACATCTTTTGCCTTTTCAATGCCTTCAGGGCTTGCCGACGCTCAAGAATCTCATTGTATTTCTCCTCTTCCGGTGTGATGGGGTCGCCACGCATCTCACGTTCAATACGTCTCCGTTCATATTGGCAGATATGGGGCAGGCCCTTCTTCCTCCAGACAATCTCTCCGAGTTCGACGTGCTCGAGGACCATGTAGATCTTGCGCAGCTCTGGGTCGTCGATGATCTCGATAAGGGCGACGACGTTGGGGTGGCGTATCTTTTTTAGGATGGCAATCTCTCGCTTGGTCTTATCCTGCTGGGACATGGCCGCCGTGACCTTGCCAAGACGCCTCTTCTTGGAAAATCTGGGGATGATCTTGATTGCAACATTTTCTCCGGTCTGGTTATTGCGGGCCAGTTTCACCTTGCCATGCATGCCACGGCCAATCTCTTCGATGACTTCGTATTGGTTGATGAGTTTGCGGCCGGTGGTGATATCCGAGTCGATAAGGGCCTTGTGCGTCCTAGAGCGATGTCGGTCAGCGCGCCATTGGCTCCCAGAGGGCAGCTGAGGGCCCACGATAGTTTGGGTTGGTTGAACCCCGCTTCACGATAATTTTGTGGGAGGAGTCGGTATCCGACTGCAGGCCGAAGGACGCACACACGCAGTCGGGCACCCACGGCTCACCCCCCTTTCCCCCTCCCCTCCCGATTCGAAACTCAAAACAAGGAAATGTTAGGCAGAAGGGATTCAAGACTCACTCTCTCACTTGGTGCTGGTGCAGTGGGTGGAGAAACGGACTCGGGCTGTCGGCAGATGGCGTCGTCACTTCGGAAGCAGAATGAAGGTGGAACGGATGATTCGATCGTGAATTCGTCGGGCTGAAGAGACCAGGAGAAGATACCGGCGTACTATTGGCGGTTCGCGGAGGGTGGAGGATCGAGGAAGAGGAAGCGTTCGGTAGTGGGGCAGAGTCGATATGGGGGAGATTAGTGTGAATCGACCGAAGGTGAGAGGACTGATGATGATGAGAATCCATTTTGGCCGGGAGTCTAGTCGACGATATCGACTCGACAAGCTCGAATGGGCGTAATGGTTGTGAAGTTAGGTGTTGTGCGGCTTGCGCAGCAGCCAGCGCGGCCAAGGCGGGGGGGAGAGGGAATCGGCCGCTTCGAGAGGGGGGGGTTAGGGGCTCATTTCTTCTGCTGGATAGCTTCCGTCTTCGCCACAACGGAACGATGGTCTTTAGAGATGAGTAAATGAAGAAACGATAATGAGTCAACTCTGTAAGAGAGAATAGAGGAAAGAAAGAAAGAACAAGCAAAGACAAAAAGAAAAATAAGCTTAGTGAGGAAATGGTAGGGAAGTGATAAGATCAATGGGTAGAAAATAAAAAGGCAGGGCTGTGTACAAATCAGGGTAACGGACATCCAGGATTCTTAAGGAAATGCTCAGAAACAAAGGAAAAAATGACAGCGATTATTCGAGGCAGGGCCCAAGGTACTTCGTAGGCAAGCCCAGAGGCGGCAACTGGTCAATGCCACCGACCTGGCTCCACCTTTGGGAGCAGAACGACGAAAAAGAGAGGCAAGGGTTAGGAAGGAAGGTGTACACTACGAAGTACTTGGTGGTGTCGTGTAGACAAGGATGGACAAGCTCAAGGCAAGAGCGAGTGGACTTCGTACGAAGTACTTCGTCCTTAGGTACGGCACGTCCATCATCACTCAGCAGAGATCCTGGAAGGAAAGGCCAAAGGACACAGTAAAAGGCACTAAGGGAATTGTGGAGTGTACTTGGCCTTGGCATGCATAGGTACCTTGAATGCCCAGTATGAATCCCGAGGTATTCCGTCGAGGCACCATTTTTGGTGGCACTATTGATTAGGTGAGAGGCAGGGAATTCGTGTTGGTGTGGTCTGCGGTTGGCGACCGGATGGCCTGAGGAACTCAAGGAAATATTACCGTACCGTGCCACACGCTGCTGGCCATACTGGTGTGCACTTGTACCTGTCGCATCACTAGTAGTACCCTGAGGACATGCCGCATCGGGATCTGTCTTTCGTGAACAAAGACGTCCAGTTATTGCCTGGCGAATGTACCTTATCCTGTAGCTTTTCTGTACTTAACCGGCCCTCAGCACCCCACTCCGGTGTGTTGGTGATAACAGTTTACGTTGGAAATACTGTTTTGATACAAGTTTTGATACAACTGATAGATCAAACTGGTTGATACCGAACCGCACGCTGCGAGTGTGTAAGGTACGGCAACAGAATCCAAGTGCGGTACATCATAATAATAATTGGGAGAGCTATTTAAGTCGACGAGACACCACATTTCCTTATCTATAGATCTTTCCTGCGCAGAGATGACGACTGGGCGAAGCAAGACAGTCGACATGTCCACGACACAAGCACATGTGCAGTGGGCATTAGTCCAGGAAGTTATTATGGCCCACCCCCGAGTCTTGGTTCTGCTTGGTGTCTTTTAAAGTGCTGTTTCACCAATGTAGTATGCTTCACCAACACATCTCTTTAGCTGCCGGGAGCTACATAGATTACTCTAGGGACCCTTCCATCACCATCCTATGTGAGTGACAGACTCCAAACCTCACCCAACATGCTCAGACGAAGTGGTATATCAAATGTCAATCTCAACTCGGCCCAGCAATTTTGATTGATGTTGCAAATAATATTTGGATCCCTCGAGCGCTGTGTGCTGAGAGATCCAAAAGCGTAGTCTAGAACCCAGGAGAGCCAAGGCGCTAGATCCCAAGCTTGACGTAGTCGTGTGCGTCGTGGTCTATCTTTGCAGGGAGAAGTGGGCCCTGAAGGAGGATTAACGTACGACAGCTCCTTGGCCAGTGCCAACACAGTGCGAACCCTCATCTGGTCCCTGTACTATGTCAAAAAGAGAAAAAGGAAAAAAAAAAAAAAAAAAAAAAAAAAAAAAAAAACATTTGAGAAGGCGAAAATCGAGAGAAATGCGCTAGCCGATTACGGAGTGGCGTCCACAGTCAACATTTGAAGGTAGTTTAGTACGTACATCAATGTACCGAAGTACAGTGTAGTGTAGCATCGAAACGGGGATAGGCTTATCGCGCCTATCAGTTCGTGCTACTCATAACAGGCGTCCCCTATTGGCTGCGCTGGTGGGGGAAGTCTCTTTTCGCCCCTGCGGACCTGCAGTTCAATTTTCTTTCAGTTCAAAAATGTTTCTTTCGAGTAATAATTTTCCTGGGCTGAGGAAAAGAGCGGCTCCCGTCTCGGACACTTGTCTCAGCATGGATCGAGGTACAAAAGTGGCTTGACGAAGGATTGACCCAATGTTGTATTGGGACGCCCGCATTGTTCAGATTACTTTATCTGGATTTCAACGGCGAAGAAACATCGAAGCAACATCAATCTTAAACTGCAATGGACACTGGAACGATCGGCCCGCCGGCTGGCGTTGATATCAAAGAGACATTCTAAACCTGGTTGTCTTTACAAATGTTGATGTCATCTGAAGGCGAGTCAAGGACAAGGACAAGGACAAGGATGAGATTGAGCTAGGCCTTTTTTACACAGGCTCGTCAGCTCCGATTTGAGTTTTCGGGACCAGACGAATTGTCTTTGTCCTTGACAGACCCTGGGTCCCCTATATCCTGCCTCGCGGAGTGTCTGAGAAGCCCTGATTTTTATGCGATGAAGCTGTCACTCAAGGTTCAACGCTTACTCCGTAGATAAGTTATCAACAGATGTGTGTCAGACAATGCCTCCAAAACACCCCTTTCAGGCCTCGTGCTGACGGGCGTTAGCAGGAAAGTGACACAAGACTACTGTGGTGCTAGGTAAGCTTTCCTACCTAATCCAGTTCACAGGGCGCCTCCGAGACATTGAAAGGGAATTCCTTCAGCGTTCGAAATAGAGTGCTTGCCGTGTTGAGTAATTATAGAAGGATCCTGCTATAATAGTAGTTCTTCTGGGCTCCACATCAGACAACTTTGGTTGAACCTTCTACACGCCTCCGTTCGGCTCTGGGAAACCCGGCGATGAGGATGACGAAATTTGAAATGATACCGCCGTTGCCGTTGGGGCTTTTCTTTGCCTCATACTTGTTTTTGGGTTTCGGCTGGCAAAACGAAAGTATCGCCATGTACAGTACAGAAAAGGAGATCCCGTTTTATGTTCTACGCGTCATAGGCCACAGATCGTGTATCGTATCACTACGAGGCAAGGAGTCCCTAGCTCGAAACGGAAAGATTGAAGTAATGGACAAGAAGAAAAAGAAAAGAAAAAAAAAGTGAGAGTTAGCACTTGCATCCTTCGTTCACTATGTCTCGCCGAAACGGCACGAGACTGGCCTGATTGAGAAACACAAAAAGCAATCCCGCGATTTTTAGTCTCGGCAAGTCAGAAGAGAAAGAGTAAAGAAAGAATGTTAAAAGCTTAAATTCGCGTCATGGACTGGCTTGGCTCGACTCCTTTGGTGTGTTTCCTGTCTGTGTCCCTGCTGCAGCAAAACGTGGCGACCGCCGGATAGCTGGATCTTTTCCGGGGCCTCATTGGGTGGACCGCAAGGTTTTTGAGATCTGATCATTCATTGCCCAAAGCATGGATCGTGAGTCGAGACTTGAGCTTCATGGTTGACTGGAGATAGATCCGTTGAGGAAACACACCCAAAATTAACTTGTGCATGAGAATGTTGAATAAGGAACCAACGGTCAATTATCCCTATGTCATTCGATGTTCCCAGATCAAACTCGCCACTGCTACAGAAGTCTATTTTGTTGTTCCCACCAAATTCGGCCCCTTTTCCGCCTCCTTGCTCGTTGAGCGCAGGAGTAATTGCTGTTGTTGAATTTTGCGAGGTAACATCAGGAGACACACCTGGAAAGAAATATTGAGGTGGAACGAAACGCACAGGACAAAGGACAAAAGAAACAAAAAAAAAAGGAGGGGGGAATGGAAGGGGAACGGGGAGAAGGGGAAGCGGAATCAACGAAGCAAGGGTGGAAAACTGACATTTGATGAGGGGTATCGTGGACTCGCATTTGGTCTGGCGCCATGCGAAAGCAACCAACACGACCCTACTCGTCCGCCACAATGCCAATATTTTCTCCCTCACCCTTTTTTATTTTTTTCACGATACTTCGTACTGGGCGAGGTGTGGCAGGATGGGCTGCCGCTCGGGCTCTCTTTCTGCCCGAATCAAGGAACCAATTCATAATGGTGCCCTATGAGTGGGCGAGCCTCTATCCGAGAATGGATCCATCAGATTCATCATCAATTCAAATCCTACAAAGCACGAGGAAATCCGTAAATCCCTCGGTCGTCTTGCTCAATTTTTTTTTTCTTGGTTTGCACGATAACGAGCGCCCGCTGCTTTTGCTCCGTGCCTGCCTCAACCGTGTACTTCGTAGCATCAGCAAGTACAACTATGACGAGAGCCTCAGAGCCAGCTGCAAAAGTGGCATTATCATAAGGCGGCACAAGATTAGGGTGGCCCAAGCTGAAAACGAGCTCACCCAGCAATATTATGACAAGTTCGATTGATCAATTCGAGGCGCTGTTCGAGGTGTGAAGCACAGACACAAGATAACCGGTCTGAGCTGGCGCCAGTGCCAGAGAGCTCTTTCTTTTCGCAGCCTCTCTCGGTGAAGAGACTAGGGAAAGAAGGGCAGAAGGCGATGCGCCAAGTGAGGATTCAAGTCGCACAGCAGCAGATATTTTACAATTCTGCTTTTACTATTTGACTCGAGCCCAGCACAGCCCAGCGAGGCCCAGACCAGCCCGAGCCAAGATTGGTTTCCGCTGTCGAAGCCTGAACATGGTCTAGATGAAGTAAACTCCATACTTTCTAAGAAGCACAGCCAATTATTAGAGACGACCCTTTTCTTTGCCCCAATCAACCGACAGAGAGATAAGGGTAAACAGGGAACATGGGGAAAGCAAGGGCCATCCGCTTTTGCTTGCGACCCGATCCGGCCGGTTTCATCTGATGGGCCATTCCATGTTGCCCATATCAGTGTAGGCTACGGCGCTCCTCCAGTGTACAATAC